AGTAAAACTAATCAGAAGAGATAAGGAGGGTCACTTCATTCTGATCAAAGGAACAGTTAACCAAGAAGATATTACAATCCTTAACATATATCCACCAAATTCTGGTGCACCGAATTTCATAAAAACAGCACTACAAGACTAAGACACAAATTAACCCACAACTCAGTAATCCAGATTAACCCCAACTCAGTAATAGTAGGGGACTTCAATACCCCCCTGTCTGCATTAGACAGGTCAACAGGACAAAGAATAAACAGAGAGACATCTGAATTAAATGACACCATACATCAAATGGACCTAACAGACATCTTTCAATTATTCCACCCACACACCAAAGAATACACTTTCTACTCAGCACCTCATGGAACTTTTTCAAGAACTGATCACATAATGGGCCACAAAACAAACCTCAAAAATACAAAATATTGAAATAATTCCATGCTTTCTACCAGACCACAAAGCAATAAGGCTCAAAATCAACAAAGCTCTCCTCACTACATGAACTTGTGGCAATTGAACAGCACACTCCTAAAAAAACGAGTGGGTCAAAGGAGAAATTACGAAAGAAATAAAAGAATCCCTGGTAGTGGGTTGAGATGTGGAGACAGGAGCTGATCTAAATGACGTCAAACTATATTGTGTGAAAATTGCAAAAATTCAACAAACAATGAAAAAAAAAACCCACCAAAGAAAAAAACATTTATTTGAATTTAGAAAAAAAGAAAGAAGAGAAGAGAAAAGAAAAGAAAGAGCCAGTTCATGGTAAAGGAAAAAAAATCCTAATGTTGAAGGAACTGACCATCCACCCACTGCGCACCGCCCCCCCCCAGGGAGATGTATGTATTTCAGAACATACAGCCCATAGCCAAAGACATCTGGTTTCTTATCAGCCTTCTAGTAGATTGGGTTCCTTATCAACTCCCCTTTTGAGAATTCTGCATCTCTCCTTCCCTGTTCCCAGGAAGGAACACACACCACCCCTGAAGGCACACCCCACCTTCTGGGATTCTGGCAAGGCAAGATCCCCTTTCTGAGACTCTCTGGGTTCACCTATAAATCCCTGACCTCCCCCAACCCTGATGCCCAACCTCCTTTCCTACAGGAAGGTTGTGTGTCCCTTGTAGCTAATAAAGCTATCTATATCTGTTGAAGGCCGGATTCAGTTTCTACTGTATCATGTTGTCTTCTTATCCTGAATTCTAACAAATGGTACAGTTGGAGGAACTCTCTGAGCTTATCCATTCACCTGGCTGGCTAGATGGTTGCATCCCAGAGAGGACCAAACTTGGGATCCAGCTAAGTAGTGGCAAGCACTAAATGAAAGCCAGGCACTCTCTCTCTACATGTAGACCAATACATTACTACTATCATAAATCCCAATTTTCATATTTCACAGCTAAAGTAGTAATGCAATACCATAAGTCACAACTGTTTGTGGATTTCTGGCATAGTAAAAGCAGTTTTATAAGTCGCATAAGCTCAGCTTGTGTGAACTGCTACTCTCTTTCCCCTGATGAGACTAGGAAAAGAGATTTAAAATACAGCTTAGGGTTTAGACAAAATAGCTACCCTGAGGCAAGAAAGTGTTAGAATGAAGACTTGGTGATCACTAATTTCCCAAATCATGCAGAAAACAAAGTTTCAAAGCCGAAATTTCTTGAAGGCCTAAGGGGCTCTAGACTTTCCCTAAACTACAGCGAGACTGTAAACCCCGCCCCTCCGTAAAGTGAAAGTAAATTTTACAGATGGAGACATCAGATGCTTCTGAGTCCTGCAAGGCATGGAAAAGCATGGGATCAAAGGGAAAAGCATGGGATCAAAGGGAAAAAGGGGATCAATGCTGTTTTCTGAGCCTGACCTGGCTATGGAGTTCATGAGCTCACTGTAGCTGGAGTTGCCTGCACAGGGCCTGAACAAACTTGAAACATAAATATTCAGTCATTGATGGGGGAGGGGGTCATGGGGCATGACCCTTAAGAGATGGCTAGCACTGTCAGCTAGTCCAGAGGACCCAGCACACACATGGTGGCAAACAATAATCTAGAACACCAGTTCCCGGGATTTCTTGCCTTGTTCTGACTCCTGAGGGCATTGCCTGACACTTGCACTTGCATATATGCCTGAAAAACACTCATGCGCATTCTGTTAGGGTTCAACCTACAGCAACCCCTAGTGCAGCAGGGCTTCACAGTTCTGCAGGGTCCCTGAGAATATAGGAACAGAGTTAATAAGCACCCTGGTCAAGAGAAGCAGACTTTTCTGCACCTTTTGGCCAAAGGCAGCTTGCTTTCCCTTTGATGATCTTGGAAGATAAGATAAACAGACTACACCTTTTGACCAGAGACCCAAGGAGTAGCTTCAGCACAGCAGATTTTCCCTTCGATGATCTTAAAGAGCAAACAGACACCTCTTGACCCAGACCCTGGCTGACAGACAGAAGGGGGTGGTTTTAACAGAAGCTGTTCTGTTAAGCCCTGGGCTCCTGCTCCCACCTCCCCCACTTAACTTTTTAAAATATGTTCCAGTCTTCTGGATCCCCCAAAGCCCCCCTTATAAAGACCTCACCAGAGTTTCTATCTGTGTCCTGGTGCTTTCTGATTGACCCGATTCATCTATCTGATTCCTCTATCACATATAACGTAATATAAATATGTAAATAAATAAATAAAATAATAAAAAGACATCCAAATAGGATGAGGCCTTGGTGGTAGTGGGGTAGTGGGGATGGGGTAAAGTGGGGGATAAGAATGAGCAGGATATAGCACATACGTGTGCATGAAACTATCAAAGAATAAATATATTAAAATGTCTCTAATTAAAAAACATGAGCATGCTGGGCATGGTGGCTCACACCTTTAATCCCAGCACTCAAGAGGCTGAGGCAGGTGGATCTCTGTGAGGTCAAGGCCAGCCTGGTTTATATAGCGAGCTCCAGGCCAGCTGGGGCTACAGGGAGACCCTGTCTTTAAAAAGATTTAAAAAAAAAAAAAAAGAAAGAAACCAAAACCATAAGCACTACCTTGTAAGGCACTGTGCTCATCCTTTCTCTCTATGTGAAGGGAAGGAAATGGGGCTTCCACTGAGGGGTTAAAAGAAAGTTGGGGGTGTGGGCAGACTTCACAGAGGGAGGCAGCTGACAGGTCTGTAACAACAGCAGCCAGTGTTCAGGGAGGCTGGAGCTCTTCCCAGTTTTTCTTGCAGCCTGTCTCCTGCTGGAGTGTAAGAAAAACACTTTTATTCCTGCATCAGGGTTTCTCTAGCTGATTCTTGGAGCCACAAGAACCCAAGCGTCTGTAACAACATTAAGTTTCTGAGACCATTCAACTCTCATTCCCTTGTTTTCTACATTCTTCACTCTAACATTTCTGATAAAATGTATCAAAGAGAAACGGAATCAACCATTCTTGACATGTCCTCTAAACACACAAAGAAAGCAAATCTTATGTAAGACAGACCCTGTGCTAAGAACACATTTTTAAGTATTTTTCTAGGTTTCTAAAAGACAGGACTTGAAAATCTATAGGAAAACTGATGAGGCCAGAACTTACCTAGTTAAAGAATCTCTCCTCTGAGCTCCCCACTAGGAAAGCTCTGCTTGACTGTTTATTCCTCTGAGCTACTTCTTCCCCCTATAGGGGGAGGAGGCCCACTGTGGGAAAGCCACACCCACAGTGTTCAGGGCCAGGGGGTATCTTTTTTCAATTAGAAGGGAAGTGCTAAGCCATTCTAACATTGCAAAGCAACTCCTTAATATTTTGCTTTTCAAGGTTGCTGATAAAAACATGTCAGATAGTATTTCATTCTCAGAGATTTATTCTGCCTGTGAGTGGAGACCAGGCCTTTGAACCAAGTACTGATTTTTTTTTTTTAGGAATAGGGTGAGGAGATTTTTTCAGGAACAGAGTAAATGGAATGTGAGTACATGTCCACAAAACCAGCCCTTCAAAGAATACTTGATGCAATACAGAGAGCAGAGAGAGAAACAACTATACCCGAGGGGCAATGAAAGAAAATAAATAAAGGTATAATCTAGGAAACACAAAGTTAGAGAACAAAAACAGCAATCAAAATGATGGCAACAAATAGACACCTTTCAACAATAACCTTAAATATCAATGGACTTAACTCCCCAGTCAAAAGACACTGCCTAAGTGAATGGATTAAGAAAAAAAATTCCATCTTTTTGCTGTCTATAAGAAACCCATCTCACTTTCAAGGACAGGAACTACCTTAAGGTAGAAGGATGGAAAACAATATTGCAAGCAAATGGCACTAAGAAACAAGCAGTGGTTGCAATTCTAATATCTGACAAAATAGACTTCAAGGTAAAACTAATCAGAAGAGATAAGGAGGGTCACTTCATTCTGATTAAAGGAACAGTTAACCAAGAAGATATTACAATCCTTAACATATATGGACCAAACTCTGGTGCACCCAAATTCACAAAAACAACACTATAGAACATTAAGACACAGATTAACTGCAACTCAGTAATAGTAGGGGACTTCAATACTCCATTGAACAGGTCAACTGTACAAAGAATAAACAGAGAGACGTCTGAATTAAATGCCATACATCAAATGGACCTAGCAGATATCTTTCAAATATTCCACCCAAGCACCAAAGAATATACCTTCTACTCAGCACCCCATGGAACTTTTTCAAAAATTGACCACATACTGGGCCATAAACAAACCTCAGCAAACACAAAAAAATTAAAATAGTCCCATGCATTCTATCAGACCACAATGCAATAAAGCTCAGAATCCACACTGGACAAAGCCCTAGTCACTACACAAACTCATGGCGATTGAACAGCACATTGCTAAACAGCGAGTGAGTCAAAGGAGAAATTAAGAAAGAAATAAAAGAATTCCAGAAATTCAATGAAAAGGACATTACAACACAACACAACTTCTGGGAGACTTTAAAAGCAGTCCTAAGAGGGAAGTTTATAGCTCTAAGTGCCTACATTAAAAAATTAGAAAGAGCCCAAATAAATGACCTGAAACTGCAACTCATGACACTGGAAAGGCAAGAACAAATGAAACACAAACATAGCAGAAGAGAAGAAATAACAAATATCAAAGCAAAGATTAATGAGATAGAAACAAAGAAACAATACAAAAAAATCAGTGACTCTAAGAGCTGGTTCTTTAAAAAGTTAAACGACATAGACAAACCCTTAGCCCAGTTAACCAAAAGAAAGAAAGAGGAAATCCAAATGAACAAAATCAGATATGAAATGAGAAACATCACAACAGATACCCAAAAGAGGCAGACCATTATAAGGGAATTTTTTTTTTCTTTTTGATTTTTTTTGAGACAGGGTTCCCCTGTAGCCCCAGCTGTCCTGGAACTCACTATGTAGACCAGGCTGGCCTTGAACTCACAGGGATCTGCCTGCCTCTGCCTCCCCAGTGCTGGGATTAAAGGCATGAGCCACCATGCCCTGCTCTAAAGT